GGCAAAAGTTTTTACAAAACCAGTGGCACTCCAATACATGTACATTTTTATATTAAACAATTTAGTCATTCTGTAAATTTACAGTAAGGCCTAAAAAAAAAGTGTTATGTTGGCGTAACCCGACCGACCCTAAAAATGCGGCCGACCCTGGATATTTTTTTTTTTTAAGGGAAGAAATATAATTAAAATCTATAGAAATGAATTTTAAATACGTTTTGAAACCATTTCTGACCGTTTCTCCTCAATTGTATGACGATAGCGCGCGTGGAACTTTGGAGTGCACAATGTTTTGCACCTTCCTCTCCATGACACAACGAACATGCAGAAGATCGCGCAGGCCTACAGGCAGTGCGCGTGCGGAGATCGATGCACCATGCATGCATGATAGATGCACACGTACATGTACCGTACATGTATAGCCTCATCCTAGACTGTTGCACGGCGCGAACTGCTACATATTTATTCCATTTTAACAAAAATAGTTCATTATAATATAAATTATTTTAATTAATTTTCCACTATTTTACACGATAACAATTGATTATATTTATTCTAAAAATGGTAAACTATTCTGTAACCCCGGCGGCCGACGCGACCCGGCCGGCCCCCGGCCCGTGGTTACGCGCGTACGCCGTCGCATCATGGCGCCCGGTACCGAAGCGTACAGTGTTTCCATCAAGGGCAAATGGGGATCTTCGGTCATTTTCGACCGTTTAATACGGATAAATTTGAGTCTAGAGCTGGGGGTAATCGCCCAGAGCTGTGCCGATGGTGTAAAAGCGGGTTACACCGTGCTAAAAATACAAACTTCAAAGGAAGAATCGGGTCCATATTAAAGATGTCGATGCAGATGAAACGGCTAACATTTTGTCTGATTTTGGATTCCGCTTTTTGATATCTAGGCCATTTAAACGCTAAAAGGTGAATATTGCTTGAATGTCCTATCCTATCCTATGCCTATAATTTGAATATAACATACTGAAAACTGAAATACAACAGCCAGAACTTTTCTTAATTCATGGTTTTTATTTTTAATATATCATTTTACAGATACACCAAAAACAGCAAGTTGGCTTCATGCCTCATCTGTCCTGAAGCACACTGCAGGCCTTGGTCTACCATGCCTTCCTTAAATTTTCCTCGATCTGACAGTTTTGTTTTTATTTGCACAAAAACAAGAAACTATATATAAAAGAAAGACATAAAAAGTGAAATAAATGTCACTCAGAGTTTAAAAGTATACAAATATTGTGTGTAGCCTTGTTTTCTTTTGTTATCGTGTACTACTACCGGCTTAATGTCATTTTCGTTGCTGGGATAAAAAAAAAAAAAAAAAAAAACCGACCTACCTACCGTATTTTTTCTGGCCCGTTACGCCAACATAACTTCTTTTTTTTTAAGGCCTAATGTTATTGATGAAGTTGACCATTTTTACAGATTTTAAAAACTTCTTTAAAAAGTCCCCAGTTTAAAACTGTCCTGCAGAAAAGTTCTTGGTAACTGAACTTGTGTAGTTTGGAAAGTGTACACCAAGATCAACTGGTCATAGATATGGGATGTATATCGTGCATGCCACTAAAAAGTATTTTAAGACAATGGAAAAATGTAGTATCCACTAGACCAGACGCCACTTCAGCAGCTGTGTACAATACTACCACTACCCGGTACTACTACTAATAATAATGAGTATTTATAAAGTGCACATATCCACTATTATTGATGCTCAAGGCGCTACATCATTATTACCCTGCTCATTTGGGACATTGAAACATTCTAAATACCATCTCAGCTCCCTGGGGAGTATTCAACCAACTTCCGGCAGTACAAAGTACGGGAGAGTTACAAACATTTTCAAAGTATTTCCTAACAAAATTGGAAATGTTTCTCAGTGAATAATGTAAAATTTGGTTCACAATCTCATTTTTGTATATCAAAACAAAAGTAAGACAAAACATGTCATAAATAAGTCATGATGAGAAAAAGTATGTAGACAAGGTATGTCATTTGTTGAGGACCCTTTTTTTATAAATATTTTTAAAATAAATTTCCAAACTTGGATCATACTGAGGTTTGTTTAAGCAGCCTAGCATCATGTGCGCAGTAAACCATCATGTGATGGGATTGTCAATCATCGTTGCGAGATACACAGCCCAATTATCGGACACGAACGATCACACTTTAAACTGCTGTATGGATTTTATTGGTAAAACTAATAGAAACAAAAAATCGAAGTAAAATACAAATGCCAAATTATGACATTAAAAACCCACATTCTTGAAAGTTTGAGATAAATTCAGGAACTTATAAATTTCCAACTGAAATCCAGAATTTACAGCTGCAAGAGGTACGAGTTGTATTGAAATCCTAGCAACAAGAATTTAATGATTTTCGGAAGCTACTAATGTTTTGAAAAATCTTACTCTGGTGTAAAGAGGAGGTTAACACATCGGTGAAAAGGACTGTACAAGTTTAAATTTGGCAGGTATATGGACGGTTAAATGACATCGTGATTTTCGTATTGCTACATATGCGCCCTCATTAGGCCCCCAAACAAATTTAGGGTCCATCAGTCGGGATTGTTTTTTTTTTGGGGGGGGGGGTGGTGGTATAGATAAAGTACACATAGTATAGGCCTACTGCCTACCCTTTCTTCTAACTGACGAATAAATGGAAAGAATGGCCACTTGTCAGTTACCGGTTCCCCTCTACCAGCGTACATGCACGCGCCAACTATACTGTGTACACACGTAAACATTGTATGCAGTATCATACCACATGCAATATTGAAACGAAATGCAATATTATGGCATTACAAAGAAACAGTCATGGCAAGGTTAAAGTTTATTTAATTTTTTTTTTAAGGTAAAAAAGAAAGAAAAAAAAGAAAAGGAGATTTCCGGATTTGTAAGTCGGTCGGGTGAGGGCAACACAACTTTTTGGGGGGCCTCAGCCATGCAACGCAGTCACCTGAATCTATTTGTCCACACTGGCAGTCGGACACGTACATGTACGTACCAGATACCACATTGTTCATGCAATCAAAAAGAAAATGAAGAACATAAGATACCAAGTTTCTGGTACTTAAATGTACTTTTTTTATTCCGACCAAGACATTTTCTTTTAACTTTTCATTAGTATCCTTTAACTTTGTTTATCTTCAAATTGAAGTTTGAATGGAAAGATTTCCATATAAGAAGTTCACTCAACACCCTGTGTACAAACCCTATGAGAGTGGACTGAAAAATTCTAAGTGTTTTCTAAGAAAATGCTTGTATTTTCTCACTGCTCAAATTGACTTTGATGACATGAAATTGCTATCTGGGGGCTTGTTAGTCAATACAGAGGAAAATTAGTGAACTTCTTATAATATGGAAATCTTTCCGTTTGAATAAATACAAGAGAACAAACACAAGCCAGAGTAGACATAGGGCCTATAGCGCAATCTTCTCCTAAACATGTCACATACAACAACAAAATAAATTCCTTTTCTGAAATAATGTCTTTGACGTTTTTAATAATTTCGTACAAAGTACGGAAAACACTTAATATTTTCACACAATCTTCTAAAAGAAAAGAAAATATTTTCCAGTGCCAAGTTGGCATATTTTCAACAGCATTAAACTGGCTGACTTTTACTGAAGCTGTGAATTAAGTGATGGGCAGAGCATACTGTTAGAAACGTTGAGTCCCTCCGGTTCTTTTCGAACCACACATACTCACAAAAGAGATCTATTCACATGGTACTACCGAAAACTTATCTTGTCTTAGTATCTTTCCACCATGCAAACCTTCAAATCTCGACATTAGGATTCCTGATAATGCAATCTTTCTGTTACTTTTTTTCCCTACAGAAAACAAGTTTTAAGCATGCTGTTTACCCTCACATCCACCACCACCCTTCAAAAAAAAAAAGAGAGGGGGGGGGGGAGGGAAGGGAGGTTTGTGAAGGGTCTTTTTCATTCTTTTAGTTCTTAGAGAGTGTTTTTATCCGTTCAACATGTCTTTGACACTACAGCAACTTTTAGCAACCTTCTTTGAATTCTAATGTTTCTACCGCTTTTGTAATTTCATTTCAACAATAGCTTGGGCAGAAAATCTACATAACTCTATCAAATTTCTAGCCCCATAAATGTGGCCAATTTACTGGACTACCTCCGTAAATAAAGGCCACACTTCCACCATGTACAAAAACATGTCAAACTTTGTCAAATTTTGATTTTCACATTTAGGCTTAGTTTGTTGGTTTTTTTTGCTTTAGAAGCATACTCACCCCCTTTATACTAGGCTAATCAGGAAGTGCTGCCTTTTTCAGATGTCTATTTTTTTGTGAAATTTCCAGATTCGTTTGCACCCGTATGTGTATCAAAATTTCAACATGAAATTCTACAAAAATTAGACATCTGAAAAAGGCAGCACTTTCTGATTAGCCTATAAAGATGGCGAGTCAGTATGCTTCTAAAGCAAAAAAACCTACAAACTAAGCATAAATGTGAAAATCAAAATTTGACAAAGTTCAACATGTTTTTGTACATCGTGGAAGTGTGGCCTTTATTTACGGAGGTAGTCCAGTAAATTGGCCACATTTATGGGGCTATCAAATTTCCAGTTGATATCATGTGAATCAATGCATTTTGTGCATCCACAGTACATCGTACAACAAACATTCCACTGTCATATACATATTAATCCTGCCTATACTTTCCACAACATTGCTGAATTGCTTTTCATCATCAATTCAATTCTGTGAGTCCAATTAAATAAATGTGAATTTTCGTGGAAAAAATGTTGCAACCTGACGCCACTTTTTTCTTCCTATATGACCATCGCAATGAAGGTCAGTCATTGCAAAAATGATAATAAGACAAGACTCTGGGACTGAGAAACATTTCCAATTTTGTAAGGAAACTTACAAAATACTCTCCATAGACTTTGTACACAACCGCTGAAGTGGCGTCAGGTTGCAACATTTTTTCCCAAACGGACAATGACATAAGCATTACCTGGGAACATTCTTTGACCGTTGACTGTAGATGCTATCATCACTATGCAGACAAGGAGTGACCAGCAAAACCAAGCCATTTTCGCTCCAGCCGTATGCGTACGTAACCCGATGTCGCCAACAAAACTTTGGGGGAGTTACACAAACTTTGACAAACGTTAAACGCGTGAACCCAAGTACTGTAGGCTTACCGTACCGCACAACTACTGAGCCTGAGCAAGCTACTGAGCGCGAACCGTACAGTGTGCGGTGGCGCGGTGGACTTTGTGAATACTGTTCAATAGAGGAAATGATGAAGTTCACGCAAAATAAAGACAATCAAAGTCACATCTTATGATCTTGCACCTTATGTCACAGAACGTACCAATGTTCCAAACGTGGGAGTATGGTTTTAATGACAAAAGTAGCTACAGACAATTTCCGACACCTATCGATACGGTCTGGCCAAAGATATTGATGGCCGGCTATAGTACACGCAATTAATTAGATCACGCAACCCAGCAGGACGATGTGTGTACACATGCATATATGCTGCATAGCGCATGCTGGTGAAACTTTTTGGGAAACGCGATCGGCCAAAACTATTCTGGCACTAGAGGGGGTGCTACAATATTAATGGTGTTTTTTTTTACCGAACACAAGAGGGTGCTGTTCTTTGTTCACTAACCTTTGTTTACTTCGCCAGAAAATGGGGCTTGTCTGCAGGTCTTGTCCTTTGCTTTGGTTGTCGAGTTAAATATGAGTGTAAGTCAGCAAAATGATATTTTTTGATAACCGAACGACGGGTGGATAGACAGTGAAAGGCTTTTGATAGATGTAGGGGGCCTACATGTAGCTTGAATAACTCCACCTCCGGTCCAATGGGGCTGGCATGGCTGGAGTTATTCTAGCCCCATAAATGTGGCCTATTAACTGGACTGCCTCCGTAAACATAGGCCACACATCCACATGTACAAAAACGTGTCGCACTTTGCCAAATTTTGATTTTCACATTTAGGCTTAGTTTGTAGGTCTTATTTGCTTTAGAGGCATACTCACCCTCTTTATAGGCTAATCAGAAAGTGCTGCCTTTTTCAGATGTATATTTTTCGTGAAATTTCCAGATTCATTTTTACACGTTTGCGTATCAAATTTCAGCATGAAATTTCACAAAAATTAGACATCTGAAAAAGGCAGCACTTTCTGACTAGCCGATAAAGAGGGCGAGTATGCTTCTAAAGCAAAAAAATCTTACAAACTAAGCCTAAATGTGAAAATCAAATTTGGCAAAGTGCGACACGTTTTTGTACATGTGGATGTGTGGCCTATGTTTACGGAGGCAGTCCAGTAAATAGGCCACATTTATGGGGCTAGAGTTATTCAAGCTAGTCTCAGATGTATCGTCCGGTGCCCCAAATTCGCGCTGCCCAATATTCGCGCAACCAACTTTCTCGGCTCGTATCTTTTTAACACAACACGGACAAAACACCGTCGATGATCCATCGTCACATCGCCTTTCTTCTCGATGCAGTTATGCGGAAATCAGAAGCTTTTCTGAGAAATCAAAGAGAGTGATAAATTATTGCCGTACTGACTAGATACAAAACGTAACATTATTGAATGGCCCAGAAAACTAATACAAACATCGCTACGAATTTCCGATCAGTGTCGCCGTACAACCCCGAAACGTGAAAGACATTTTCGGTCGACTTTCACTAAACAACAGAGGGCGTAATCAGAATTAAGGAGCATGAAATACGACGTGCGCCTTATATCACTTTTTTATTTTAGGATCTGTTTCGCCAAGATGCAGATTTTTGTACCGAGTTGTTTGTTGGAATGAATATGCCTTAAAGGGAATATACAACATTTGCAAACATCAACAAATAAAACTACCAATTTTTTACGAAATATCTTACTAGGATGTTAGTTAATGACAGTCTAAAGCATCCTGTAAAAATATGGCACCTGGTGTGAAGTCATTTTCAAGAAAATGGTATTTTTGTATAAATTTCCAACGGTGGTCGGCCGACCACCGTTGGAAAAACCTAACTATTTTTCAACTACTGCTCCAAATTTACCATTTTTTTCAGTCAAAATTTTGTTTGCTATTGGTTACATGTTCATGAACAGGTGAAAGCCAGCTAGACTGGTTCCCTTACCTTACAATTTTCCGGCATCTATAAATTGATCCATTTCATCTTTAGTGGAGTCAAGGAACCAGACTACTTGAACGTTTTCTTTTTTCTTGGCTTTTCCAGCATTTTCAAACACCAAACTTCAAAAATGTCAGTGTAACAATATTTGATCTATTATACAAACCCCTCAAATAGTTCATTTTTGAAAATTGCAACAACTAAGCCAATGATGTACATTCCCTTTAAAATATATTTCTGTCGGAATAAGACCTATCGTAATGTTTAAAGTACCCAAAAAGTAGGCCAATACCTATTTTTGTTTTTATTGAAATGATGTGTATCATGCAACCATGTGTCGAGGCGGTGCGATCGGCCACGGTATTGGTCGACCGCGTGCTAGGCGCGCGCGCGCCTGTATAATTGATTGATTGATCGCAGGTGTAATTAGAATGAGCAATGAATGCCGGAGAACATTGTTACAGAAGGGTGGTTTTGTTATGTTGTTGATGGAGGAGTCATTTCAAATATATTTGTCCATGTTCTTAAAAATATAGCCACGGCATACTAAAGTTATATTGCAAATGTTTCTATTTTGGGAAAATCTGTAGGCCTATACGTTTGTAAAATGTTATGTTATTGGCACATGGTTGATTTTCAGCAAAACAAAAATTCTCGGAACTCTTTCTATGCATAGGATTTAACTAAGCTCCTTAGACTTGCAACAAAAGTATATCATAATATTTGTGGATTTTATTTACCTCAAATTTTAAATTATGATATGATTTTAAATATTTTGCATGCGATGTGTTTACCAAAATCGAAAGAAATTCATTTATTTCATATTTAAACAAACGTGTATTTAGTAAGAATGTCGGATGGCAAACAACAGTTAGTTTATCAGTCTAGAGACCAAAGTTGTGCACATAAATTTATCCTTTATTCAACAAACATCGATCCACATTGTTTTCAGAAGTATGACACAATAAGACTCTGTAGAATGATGTTTTCCGTTCGTGCGCGAATTATGGGCACGAAACTTTTGTGGCAGCCAATTTGACTCATCTGCAGATGACGACATTCTTGCTGCTTCCTTGACGTGTGAATATTTCTCAAATCATTTTTCCATGTAGTTTATTAGTCATTCTATGTAGGGTTTAGTTTATGCAAGAAAAAAATCGATCAAAGTACTAAGTGCGCGAAAAATGGTCACACGAGGATACTGCTACTGTCTTGACGTTTCTGCAATACCAATGACTGACCGTCATTGAGATAATATACGATGAAAAAAGTGGCGTCAGGATGCAACATTCTTTCAAAAATATTTATTTCTCAAGTATTCATCAACGTTTAAAAAGAATTTATAGATTTTGTCTATTTCTGTTTAAAGCCCGGCTTTTTGTTTTCTGTTGAAATGTTCTCACATTCACAATCTTAGACACATGACCTCAGGCACAACGTGTCACATTAATTGAGACAAAACCAATTTTTGTATATGTACATTGTACTGTACAGTCCACATTTATGTAACTAATTTCAAAATAACTATTTTTTTCCTGAATTATTTAATTAGATAAAGAGAAGGCACAGAGCAACCGATGGAGAGAAAGGGTGGTGATAATCGTAAGAGGGACTTCCAGAGTGCTACACAAGAGGATGAGGTATACTCGGGGATGTCTTATTCAACAGATTATTCGTCCTGTTCATTCCAAGTAGTTTGTAAAGATACATTCCAGTTTTTTCTGTGCTCATGTCTGAACATTTGAAACAAACTCTATGAAACATTAATACTTGTATGAAAATGTTGCAGAAAATTAAGCAGTCATTCCATTAATAGTTAGTGGAATATTTTCTGTTTTAATTCCACAGGTATCTGGTGAATTTCCCTCAAAGAAAAGTTGCACTTCCCCAGACACCATGATTGTCAAAGGTGGAGAAGACAAAGCAGCCTTACCACATCTTGATCTAACATCACAGCAAGAGCTTCCTGATTCACAGATGTCACTGGATTTATTCTCCTCACCAACAGATGCCATGTCACAGGAGTTTGAGCCATTTGCACTACCCGAATTGCAGGGATTATCAGGCAGTGATGGGGCACCAGCAACTCATGAGGATACTGAGGAGGCTAGTCAGGAGCCAGCCTTGTTATCACAGATGTCTTACATTGAGGAGGAGGACAGAGGATGCAAGAGAACTGCATCCCTACAGGATAACAAATCCACTGACAATCTATCAGGACGACACTCTCAAACATCAGGCAATGTTAGCAGGACAATCCCAGAAATGACACAATGTGCCAAAGAGGACAATCAAGATGCATCCACCAGCAAAGATGAACTCTCTGAAGAACCCCTGTTAAGACCTAACCCTGGACGTTATGTCATCTTGCCAATCAGATATCCACTCATTTGGAAATTTTACAAGAAAGCACAAGGTTTGTTTGGAAGCATGAAATACTCCAATTAAACATCCTTTGCCTGCTTACATGTAGGCAAGCTCAGTGATTAGGGGCTTGTTGGTTTGGGTCCCATGCAAGCAAGCTTGTGATGTTTTTAAGGAGCTTGCAAACAGCCTTGAAGATTTAGTGCTTGTAAGTTTCATTGGTGAAAACATATAAATTCATATACATTTTTCATAAGATGGAATTTTGTTGGGGAGATCTTATAATCAACACAATGCAAAATTCCATGTCATGAACAGTTTGGTTGTGGTACCCGCTGCTATATCAGATTCGAACCAGCCAACCGATCCCGGCAAGCTTGGTGGTCAAGTGGTAAGACGTCTGCACTAGTAAGCAGGAAGTCATAGGTTCATGAATTTTTTTCTCACAATCACTGGGAACAACACTGTGTATACAGTGTTTATAAAAAAATTTGTTGTTGAAGGGCAAAACCTCATTAGTGAATTATTTACATTCCCGACATAAAGTCAATCAGTGGTCATTGAATGCATTGCATTGGTCTTGATGTAGCCAACTGACCTCGGTAATGTCAGTGGTTGAGTGGTTATGACATCTGTACTAGTAAGCAGAAAGTCGTGGGTTAAGGCCTGGAGGTCTAACTGGAGGAAGCTTATAATAATAATAATAATAATAATAATAATAATAATAATATTGGCTATTTATAAAGCGCACGTATCCACCAGGACTGGTGCTCAAGGCGCTACATCATTATTACCCCTGCTCATTGGGCACATGAAACATTCCAAATACCATCTCAGCTCCCTGGGGAGTATACAGCTCGATGCAGCCTGTTAGGCGCAAGGTAGCTAATTCAATCACAATAACCATCTCTGCCCTCACAGGTACCCATTTACTCCTGGGTGGAGAGAAGCAATGAGTGACAAAGTGCCTTGCCCAAGTGCACACGCACCATGACCCCGCCAGGACTCGAACCCACAACCTGCAGCTTTACCCGCAGACCACGAATCAGTGCCCTTAACCACGA